TACTCACCGGTATATGAGTTGGTTCGCGCTGCTGTTTATGATGAATAAGTTGTACAGCTGATATCAAGTGGTTTAGTGCCAAAGACTCGGTCTGATCTTGGGATACCACTTGACGTCAACTATGAGGAAATTTCGGTGACACGCCAATATACACCCTTTACATGCTCATGTGTAGTCGGGACCACGTTAAGTATTTACTCACCACAACGCAATTTCTCCGCCACTGAACCTTGGGCTCAATGTGAATGCCGTGTACCTGTGGGCGAGATTGTGGGCCGTGTGGGTACTTGTGTACTGTGGTTTGCATTGCACAATCAGGTTCCGAATCAAATCGAAGGCGATGGTGATGCAGCGTCACCACAGGATCGACTTGATCATTCTCTACTGCATGTTGGCTGTGCGACGGCCTTTTACACGCAACACCATGTCGCGAGGATTTTTCGCGACCGTAGCCTTGTTCGCTGCACTTGCTCTCGCGGTGAACTCGTTCCAAGACCAGGCCAATGACCTGCGAGATGACGAGGTCCTAATACCATCAGACCACTGCAGGAAGTGCAAAACTATACCCGGTGACGAATCCTGGCCTTCTCAATCTCAATGGGAGTCATTAGCCAACGCCGTAGATGGTAACCTTCTTCGACCTCTTCCCGCTGCTAGTCCATGCTACTTTGGCGATGTCTACAGCAAGGATGAATGTGCTCGCATTCTCGCAAACTGGACAAACTCGGACTTTCAGTGCGTAGTAGACTACACCCGCTCCACAACATAAGCTCAATTACACTCAGCGCTGGCCATCCTTCTTCAATCATGTTTCCCCTCTATACTGGTCTAGCTTGTATCCCTACAGCCGACCCGACTAGTGGTAACTGCACCCAAGGAACATACCCCGTTTACGTGGTGGACGCTCGCAAAACGTCAGATATCCAGCACGCAGTCAACTTTGCTCGGAACCACAATATCCGTCTGGTCATCAAGAATACAGGCCACGACTTTGCTGGAAAGTCGGCGGGACTTGCATCCCTGAGCATTCTGACTCACCACCTGAAGAACATCGCATTCATTGATCATTATAATGATGCATCGACCTCATACACGGGACCAGCTCTGAAAGTGAGTGCTGGCGCTCAATCGCGCGATGTTTATGCCGCGGCAAGGGACCATGGGGTAATGGTTGTCGGCGGAGAAGGCGAGGTAACGAAATTCTTGCCTCTGGTCAACTTATTCCCATTCATGCTCCCTGCAGACGGTTGGGTTTGCCGGCGGGTATATCCAGCAAGGAGGCCACTCTCCCTTGAGTAGCATTCTCGGAATGGCGGTAGACTCAGTACTATCGATGGAAGTGGTTCTTGCCGACGGCACATTCGTCACAACGGACGCAAATACCCTCCCCGACTTGTTTTGGGCTCTTCGAGGCGGTGGACCAAGTAAGCACATATACCCCCGCAGACCACACGCAAGGTCGTTTACGGTCTCACGAACTAGGTACATTCGGTGTCCTTGTCTCCGTCACTGTGAAGGCGCATCCCGATATCCCAGTTGCGCTCTCGCAGTTCAGCTTCGACGCCAGTGCTAGGGATATGGAAGCTCTTCAGAACGGCAACAATTCACGCCCAGACTTCTGGGCAGTTGTCAGAAGCTACTTCGATGTTGCGGTCGAGCACGCCGATCGTGGTATCTACGGATATTGGAACATACGGACCGACACAGCAGGAAACATCAACTTTGTCATGATGCCCTTGTTTTCTCCCCAGCACGGCTTCGAGGCAGTTCAGGAACTCACCAACCCTATACTTGAAAAGGCCAAGGAGGTTTCCATTGCCATCGACCCAAAGACGACGCTGTTCAGTAACTTCTACGACGCATGGGTCGCTGGGTTTCCGCAAGAGTCAATAGGAACCTGTTTCCTCCAGGGAGGCTCGCGCTTGTTCCCGCGTTCGAACTTCGTATCTCCATCGTTGCTGGACGTCACATTCGATGCGATCAAGAGCGAGGGGAATAATAATTCGGTCATTATGGGGCTCAGCGTTGCCCCAACATTGAAGGCTGGCGGCTATGCCAACACTTCAGTGACTCCTGCCTGGCGGGACACAATAATGCACATCATCGACGCTATTACATGGAGTCCAGCGATTAGAGATCTCGAGTGTATTGACCACCTTCGAGACGATTTTACCTTCCGTCGCTTAGAGAAGTGGCGGGCCGTCACGCCGGGGTCTGGATGTTATCTTGGAGAAGTGGGTCACTGTTTGTGTCCTTTTGCTGCTGTTATTGATTGGGTTCATCAGACCGATATCAATGAACCAAATTTCCAGCAGGCGTTCTGGGGTCCTAACTACTCACAGCTGTATAGCATCAAACAAAAGTATGATCCCATGGGAGTGTTTTTCGCTGAAACGGTACGTGTCTGTAACAGAGCTGCATTGAATCGGTAATCATTTCCACAGGCTGTGGGGAGCGAAGATTGGACGACAGGACCTGATCGTACTGGGCGGTTGTGCCCGATTTAGGGGACATCCTTAAGCGTCCAAGTTGATCAGTTTCATAATCTTAGTGCACAAAGAAGGCCGCCAATCTCATTCTAGGTGTGGATATGCTTACCGGTTGGGACCATGAGCGAACTTTTATCATCTCGTCCTCCTATATATTTTATACTCGTTAATGTCCGGTCTGGTTGGACGGGCCCTTAGGTCATTTTACAGCCGCTTACTCGCCTCGCCACGGTATTCTATCTGTTTGATGCATCAATATGAGTTCACCCCAACATTCTAGCGGAGTGGAAGTTCAACGCCGTTTTTTGTTATCCTCACGAAGGGGCTGGGATATATTGAACAGTTGGTTCGCTTGTCATTGTGTGTCGAGTACTGAACATTGAACTTGAACACCCTTCAACTCATCGGAATATCGCTGTCGCGGAGCGCCTTGTTACGCCTGCGCCTGGCCATCATGATCACGCATTGTAAATGGTTTGCGTGGGTACCAATCGGGCCCCACGAGTTCTTTCTTTTCAGGTCGCGTCTCGTTGTACGTCCTAGAGGAAGGTGACCAAGAGGGGTACTAACTTGGGCTAAACACTCCTAGCCATCACATGACGCTGCAACCTCCTGGGGCCTCACATCCAACTCGATACCTCGCGAAAAAGGCATAGTTCTCTGCATTGACGATAGCACGATCGGGGGAGGTATGCGCCAGGACACGAGCGAGGTGAGCACCGTAGAACTCCCACGTGAACGCGTTCGTCCCAGGTTGGTTAGCCCAAGGGGCGAAGTGAGTTGCCTCGTGAATCAGAGTCGCCGCCTTGGTCGTGCTCCAAGTCAATGTCATGAATTGAGAGTCGGGAGAGGATCAGTACCCTTTCATTAATGTCACTCCTCCAGAAGGCGGGGCATAGGTTGACTACAGATTGTCTACAAGGCAGGGTGTGAGACATAAGGCAAAACGGATTCGACGCGAACATACCGGTTGGGGGTGACGAATGCGTGCGTAAGTGGCGAAAGCAAACCGCAGTCTGGGGTACACTCGTATGTCCAGAAGTCATAGTGAGTCGTCCTTACTGCAGCCATACGGCCAATCACTTCGTTGAACCGTGCCTGGGTGTACTCGCCAAACCATATCTTGTATCGCTCATCTGCGGCCGCTGTATGATTCCTATCGAGATTGTTGAGGTAACTAACGCAGAGGGATATGTCGTCAATCGGGCACGATGTTAGATCTTGACACGTACGTCACCGACTCGAGGGCCCAATCCTGGGCCACTGGGATGGCGTCGTTAATTTTCTGCTGTTGGTCGGGAGTGCAATGAGAGAAGACGACTTGGTCGGTGGTCGCAGTAACGTCGACGTCGAGCTCTTGAGCCGAGTCTGGCATTACCTCACCTAAGAACATCGTGGTCAGAGTTGATACGATGAAAAGGAAAAAAAGGCATACGAGTCTTGGTTGACGGCAGTGCTGCGACGAGCGACGAACCAGTCAACACACACGCAAGGCAGAAAAGCGCAAGTTGGGTGAAGCCAGCCATTTGGTCGATGCAAGTGAAGGGGATTTACAGCCTGAGTTACTGTCTCAATGTCCTTCATTTTTACACCGTCCATATTTTATACGACCTTGTGCGCTTACCGTTCTCGCGAAACTGGTATGGTGTTGCTTTCGACAGCTTGCACTCATTGTCCAACTTGGCTATAACAAGTCCAGAACGGCCAGTCGTGGTGTTGGCAAGCCTCTTCAAGATTCGGGGAAGAAGCTGACCGACGGGGAGTCCATCCCGTCAGTGTGAAAATATGCTGCACCGAGTTGACGGGGTGTAAATGCACTGTAGCCGAGTGCCAGCTAACTGGATTTTAGTGCATTTACCAGGGCCACACTTCGGGGGACTGGCTTGGCGGAAGGTTATTGTCATTTGATGCGCGAGTGTACGCATCTGGAGATGAGCACTCGGGATTGCGATGGTTGAATGCTGAAATATCCGACCTTCACACAGGAATTCCATAGGACTTGACAGCAAAAAATTGGCCGTTCTGGCGGCAGAATCGTTACATCTTGACGACGTTTAACCCGTTCAAGGAAAGTCCTGTGGCAAAAATTATAGTAGCATAACTCCTAGATCTAGTTGAGTCGGTAAATTGATTGACTGAGCCAAATTTCGGGCTTACTATTCAATTTCGTGCCGTGCTTGTTAGCGCTCATAGTAGCAGTCCAGCTGACGACTGAAAGGACTGTACTGAAGATACTGGTGTTCGATGAAGCGGTCTCATTAGACTCCTTGTTACCGTCCATGCTGTCGAAGTTGATTTCTGAAGAGCCCCTCGATTCCCCAGTTACGTATATGGCCCATGCTACTGGGTATTTCTGACCTTGGTCGTTCCCGGCAATTTGTTAAATTGGCTTTGGAGCAAATCATTGTGATGCAAACTCAAACCCACGAAACGAAGCAACAAAAAGCTCAGCGAGAATCCTGGGTACACGTTGAGTGTCTCAGGATCACAATTTGAGGGCAACAAAATATGTCTTTGCTAGTATATCGGTTAGTACACGCGCCTGTCATTCACTGACGCTCGCGCGAAAGCTGGGTTCGACTCCCAGGCGAAGAGAATTTTTTTTGCGATATCCATCTCGGCTTTTACTCTGTTTTGGACTAAGAGAGAATAATAAAGCAGTTTCAATTAGTATTTAAGCTATACTATTATGCCAAGGGGAAATATATAGCTGAAGCTTGATATTTCTACTGCTGTTTGATAAAGATGGCGGCGTAGGCAGGAACGACAATGTAGTTGTTGGCTTTGAGAGTAATTGTTGTCTGGAAGCCAGCGTCAGGTCGCGTTCATTCAAGGGTATAAGGCATGCACTCACCTGCCACTTGGCGACACCGGAACTGCCTCCAAAGTGACGCAGGAAGTATGAACCGGTCGGGACGTTGGACAAATCGTAGGCAAGGGGCGCTGTATCCTTGTTGATGATGACCAACGACAATTTGTTGTTCTCCGTAGCGGCGTAGACCCCAACAGTATCAGCGTTGTTAGTAGCGAGATTGACTTGAGCGCTGTTGCTACCGAAGTACACGCCGTAGCTGAGAATATGTAGTTAGGTATTGATGGTCAAGATAATGAACAGTGTCAATTCGTACCCTCTGTACAACCAGAAGGCGAGGCCGACAGGGCCCATCTCGTCTGGTTGGTACCAGTATGTCGCAGCATCAACCTTATATTTGCCGAAGATACCAAGAGCATCAGCAGTAACGAGACCGCCCGTAATATCTTGATCGTTCGTCGAACTCCATTCACTGATCGCCAACTTGGTCCCGGGGTAGTGGATATCGATCAAAGTACGGAAACGCGGGACGAGTTGGACACGGTCGGGGTCCCATTGGTGGTTCTGTGGGCTTTCGCCAACCCAGGATTCGTCGACGTATGTTTTGTCCTAAGCGACAAAACATCAATCTGACGTGTCCGACAGGGGAGAAAGGGGCGCACATACCCAGAGACTGCGCGTCATTCTCAGCCTCAGAGCCTTGGCGGCGGCATCGTTTGCGCTGGTGTCTGGCTGGAAGTAATAATGGATATCCAAGTAGTCCAGCAGACGCTTTCCGGCGGTGTCGGACGCCTTCTTCATCTCCTGCAAGAACCACGGCAAGAAGTCGGTGTTGGCATGAGCCTCGGTATCGGCCCATCCGATAGCACTAGTCCAGTCTGCAATGGAGATTCGTAAACATATGAACAGGAAGGAGCGGTGACCGTCAACTTACAGAACCACCACGAGCAAGTCATAGGGGCGGCGACAGCAACATTGGGCAAGGCTGCTTTCGAGGCCTTGGCGAACGCGACCATCCTTTCGAGTTCTTCATCGTAGCTCACCGGGCTGCAATGAAGTAAGGCATGTCAACAAAATGGCTTCATGGGACCATGCGTATCAAGTGACTTACTCGGGGTGCATGTCTTGATGAGTGCTGTGGGCGATTTCGATTTCGTTGTCCAAAGCAAGGATAGTGGGTATATGTTGAAGGCTAGACAGCCACTGCTGGGCTAAGGATGCATTCCATGGCGTGTACGCCGTGCTTTGGTCCATTGGGGGTGAAATGATAGATCCATTAGAAAACTTCCCATTTCCTGCATCAGAGTTGTACGGGTCAAAGGCTTGCTGGTCTGGGGGAGCCATTAGACAACACATGCAACTCATACACGGAGACAGGCTTACCTGGGTAGATTGTGCGAGGGTACGAGTACGAGGTGGTGTCTTTGGCGACCCAGTCAAGTCTAGTTAATAGGTTCAGCGCTAGACATCCTGCAAGAGAGACTACTTACCCAGGCACGGTCAAGATCGTGTCAGAACCGGCTCCACTGACCCATCCAACCCATTCATCGGCAGAACCCCAGTCGCTCGCTCTGTTTTCGAAGTACCAATCATTTCCTGCGTTGGTGAAATGGCCGAATGGATTGTAGGGAGTCACGGCGTTACCGCCCCAACGCGAAAGAGTGACACCCAAGTGGTTGATGTAGCTTGCGGTTGGCGGGAAGTTGACACCATAGATATGGGGGTTAATGGGGTAATTAACACTCTGTACGATGCTGATTTGTATGTTAAGAATCCTGTCTATCCGTGCAGAGATGGGCGGCGTACCTTCCGTATTGAACAGCCGGGAGTGTGTAGTCGAAAGTCAAGTCACCAGCAGTGATGGACAACGAACCAGCGGCGAATGAAGACGCCAGTGTGAGGTATGTGATTGATTTAGCAGGTGCATCTACGGGGCTGTAGGATTTTGTGGTGAACGCCACGTTCTAAAACAAAGATATGTAAGTTTATAACTTGAGACGCTCAGGAGAATCCGCTAACCTGTCCGTTCAACTTGACTGTGACTTGGCTAAAGTCGACATCACCAACAGTGGTGATCGCGACAACGTCGTTCGTCAATGGCTCCGCGCTGAGGAACTTGGGCTCGATGACGATAGACTACAAACGTGGTTAAACACGTCTGAGGCGTTATGGAGCGTATGTTCAGTAACGCACCTCAACCAGAACGATGTTATCTATATGGTACTGGAGGAAATGAGTTTATCTATTGAGTTGGTATTTCACAATACACTTACTGTAGCGCCGTCGGCTTGTGCTTGGAAGCTGAGACGGTCCCAAATAGAGTCGCCCTACAAGTAATACTTCTGAGCGACAGACACATCATGATTTACTGAATGTCGGTTACCAATTGTCCGCCGCTACCAGGCAAGTTGTTGAAGTCGATGAGAAGAGACGTGAATCCATCCGGAGTTATAGACTGGCTAATCTGGGATAGCTGGATCGAAGGGGAGGTAATGCTCTCCGTGACGGAGTCGAAATAGATGGCCAAAGCCGGTTGTGCTCCCTAGCGAAGAAGGGCGTGAGTTAAGAAGGATTGCAATCCGGGAGCATGGCATACCGATATGTCGAACCTCAGGCCAGCGTAGTCTTTGAAGTCGCCTGTGCTCAGCTTGAAAGACAAGGCTGCCCAGGCGTCGGAGGTAACGGAAATACTGCTGGTACCCTCGAATACATCGCTGGCGGCAAAGTCGATGGTGGAACTCCAACTCCAGTTTTCCCAGCCAGATGCTAGAGCATTGTCGGTGTAGACGGTCAAGTCATCGGCCCTCGAAAGGCGAACAAATAGTGCCGCGATGGCAACCAGCGACCTCAATCGCAAGAGCATGCTGATGATACCTTGGCAGAGGTTTTGTGCACCACCACGGAGAAAAGGTTAAGCCTTCCTCCATTAGCAGGCCCCTCCTTATATGATGTCTCCCGACGGTAGCCAGAGAATGTGCACGTCGCCAGGATATAATGTGGCTGAAATTCGGATAGACATTAGCGGCTAATTTACGGGCATCCTCAAGTAACGTACTTACCGCATCCGAGCCGCTCAGTTACCGCCTTATATGGGTGCCTTCGATGGCCACAGAATTGCGTTCTACTTTGCAGCTGACCAGGCTGACCGACAGCTGCGGCCCATATCCTTCGGCAGCGTCACCAATACGTTACCCTTGATGTTCCTATGAAGTTATTGCGAAGTCCGCCCTTCGGATCGCAATTTATTCGATGCTCATCAAGTCGGGAGCTGCCAGGTCATCAAGGCAAAAGACATAGAACTACCGAGGAACAAGCTCAAGTTCACATGGCCGTGTGGGACAAAATTCCCACATGAATACAACGCGTCGCGTCTAGTCACATGTGTGACAGTACGCGTTTCTTATCAGAACCACGATGCCTGCAGACTCCCGTCCACCAATTCGCCCAAATCCTCCGCGATGGACGCCGGCTACAGACCCATCTACAATAGAAATCCCTGGGCTGGACACTAACGCTTCTGCCAATGATCAAATCGAACAGATAGAACAGCTCATCACCATCAAGCTTCAGGTTGTTCCGAAGTCGATGCCCTTCCCCCCGTGGCTGACTTGATGTCGAGCAGAATATTGACGAAAATTTCTCGAAGATGCATAACATACTTGCAAACCAGATGCTTCCTGCGGTGAAGAGATATGCAGTCGGAACGGAACCAGTTCGAGAGGCAGCGAAGGTTAGTACAAAAGTCGAAGATTGCGTGTCGCGATTGAGAGAACGCGTAGTTTTGGACCTCATTCTACGAGCAAGCTGCTCAGATTCGTATCCCGACGTTTGAGGACTATTCATCCGTAAATGAAGCAGCAGAGGAAACACAGGGAGAGTCCAGTCGGCACTCCGAAGCTTATGCGGACGAGAATCATGATCACCAACCTGATGAGCAGAGTGTAGCCTCCTCTGAAGACTCCTTCATGCCAAATCAGGCTGCGTTCTCTTCAACGCCGGCAACGGCCCATCGCCAAAGGTTGGCACAACCACACAACAGTTTCGCAAGTCATGCTTCCGACGATCCATCATGGTCGGCATCTTTGGAGTCACCATTGGTACGTATAGATCGAGAGCTCCAGAAATTTTCGTTGGACGAAACTGCCACCCCTCAACTGCCTGCACCCTCATTCCACCACCAACAAACACCGTCCATGTTCGATGATTCACAGGAACAGGAACAATCGATGATACCGAGGTCAGATAAAGGGAAAGGGAAGGAAGTTCCTCGATCTCTCCTCAGGAACGTTCTTAAAAGCACCGTCGATCCTTCCATCGTCTCCCCGCTCAAACTCAGAAAGCCCAAAACACCAGTTCCGAAAGGATACAACCCCTACTTACCTCCAAATACGAAGCCATCTGAATGGAGTGGTCTCGTCGACTTGTCCGATCCATCATCCCGCACGCCTCAACGGTACCGTCGCGGCGCAGGCCATACCTCTGCCATCCGTTCGTCTACGCCTGACCAGGATGACGACGACTCCTTTGACGGCCTTCCTCCGGGAATGTCTCCACCAAGGCTAATGTCTCCCGCTCGGCCACCTCGCTCAACTGCTGAACTTGGCCTCGGCCGTACACCTGTCAGAGAAGCCGCCTCGCGCATTTCTCGCGACATAGTTTTCGATATGCAGAGGCAAACCGCGTTCTCAGGTTATAAGCATAGCATCGTTGAGTCCAGTATGAGTACCGTTCCTACTCCACCATCGCTCTCTCGATATGCGATGCAGGATACCACAGAAAGTAGTATGGCGAGCCTCGATACGATGATGCGTCGTGTTGGGCTTAGTACTGCAGCCGAGGCTGTGATGAACCCACAACAACATGAAGAGGAGGATATGATGACCCCGATACATAGCCGCGAGGACACGGGCTCCGACTCTGATGACGACGACGACGAGATCAATAACACAGCTCATCCTTCCGCCGCATTCCTAATGGCGTCTCGAGCGCGAGGTGCAGACGATTCATTTGGGTCGTCCAACCATTCAGGAGATTCATTCGAGGACGAAGTAGGAGGCGACGCCCCTATCCACCCCTTCGCTGGCAGCGTGGAGGATGACGGGTTCGATGATTCGTTCGATGACGATTCGTTTGGCGGCAATATGGTGGGTGGCGTGGCGACAGAGGAAACAGAGACAGTCTTTGGGGTTCTGCCGGCGCAGAGGCAGGCGGGCTACGATGGGCAGCAATTCAGGATGCTCGGTGAGGATTTATTGCAGGACACTATTGGATTCACTGGACAGATGGGGCCACCTGGCGGTGTCGCCGAGAGCCCGACACCCGCCAATTGGGGTAGCACCGATCGGTAGAACTCGACGACAACAATTCCCCGAATCCCATCTACTTAATCGTGGAATCTTGTTCATAAGCCAATGTAATTCCTGCCGTGACATGATACATGGTGAAAGCGAACGACAGCAAGATATAGTAACCAGTAAGGAACGAATGATGTGTGTTACAGGATGCTCACAACCCAAAAATACAGTAAAATAAACATACATACAGTATTATCTCCTTGATCATGAACACGCATCTCATTCAGCATATTGCCAGCACCTTCTCCACGTAGTCTGCGATCAGACCGTGCGTAGCCGCCGACGGTATCCTGGAAACACGAACGTCAGTCAACATCCGAGTGACGTCCTGAATGAGGTGAAGGCGGTACTCACCCTGGTAGCCAGTAGAACGTTGATTCGGGATTGGCACAGGCTCCAGACGTCGACGTTGAGGAGGGCAAACATGCTGCCTTACTGGTATATCCAAATGCTTCGTATCCGGGGCTGCTGCCCAAGACGCCATCCCATAGGGTCTTGAGATCGACAAACCCGACGCTCGTGCCGTATCTCGTGTGGAGGGTGTTCAATCCAGCATAGATGCCTTCCTTGAACGCGTCTCCTGACGGTGTTTCGTAGATTCCACGACCATAGTTGTCAACGACGATTATGTTCTTGGCGTATGTGGGGTAGGAAGTGAGTTCAAGGATCGTGTATACGATGGCGCCAGCCACCGTGTAGAGGTTATCAGTTCCCGTTTCTGTACGCAACGAGGTGAGCGAATGAGGGATAGCACCAAGGGAGGAGATGCTTACGTTGGGACAAGTCAAAGTCCCTATGGTCAAATTGGTAAGTGAACATAAGTCCTTCGCGTCGCAATAAAGCCCTTACCCAACTCCCAGGAATATGGTATATAGTGTCGTCTCTGGATCAAATCCGTTTCGTTGATTAATGTAGTTGTGTGCTACGAGGGATGTTTCTCAGTGCCCGCCCATCCCGCCAAGGCTAAATCGATGAAGCTCACCTTGTCCGACAAAGTCGTTTGCACCCGATGCAGCTGTAGGAAGCAGACTGGATGGCCAGATATTTTTATCTGTAACAGCGCCAATTTCCTAGTATCCAAGGGTGAGTCTCGATATACGGGAATATGAGGGCGCCACTGACTGCAAAGTCGAGCAAGGTTGCACCAGCAGCGGAAGCCAATTTCTCCACCCATACAGGACCATTACTCGCCCGTCCTCCAGCCCTTGGGTTCGGTGGTGTAAGAACTGGTGGCGGTAACGGCTCTCCGTCATGTGCTCCTCCGTCAGTCCATGAGTCCTATTCATCACTGTAAGCGCAAAGTCGTTGAAGACGAAGGAGGGTAACGTACTCCAAATGCGACGATATGTTCGTAGGATGCCAACGGTTTGAGACCGATGTTGACATCGCCAAATCGTCCCCCCGCAACACCGCACTTGGGATCAACGGCCAAGTGAACGCCGTTGGGTGCGTCGCGGGGAAGTACTGCAGCGTAGGCAGCGCAGACGGATGTCAGTACGACAAAGGATCGGAGCATGGTGAACCAAGTCCCTGGAGACTCAGAACATCATCCTGAGGTATTTATGCTGTCACGTCTCTCCATATGCCTCGAACGCGCTAGTCAGAGGACTAAACATCCAAAATGGCAAGAATCAGGTGTAATGCAATCGGACTTACTTGCACCGTGCTTTTTCCGTCATCGAAGCTCATCGAAGTTGGGTGGTGTATTCCGAATAGCACCACGTGGACAAGTAGGTCATCTTGCTGGCAAGCCTCGTCAGCCAGCTAGACTAAACTTTGACTGCTTACATTCGGTATTCATAGCGATGACTCGCGCTTCGTTGCTAGAAAGGTAATATTGAAGCTTGAGTTGGTCAGCAACATCACACCCGTCCACGAGTTCTGGTTGCAAATTCAAGACTGAACCCAGTACAACCACTGAATTTCGGCGATAAATGCCTCGTGCAGAAGTGTGGGGTCTTGAAGACACACATGGGCCAAGCAGGGTGCTTCCTGAAGTTAGGATGCGAGCCTGCGTAGGTAATTCATTCCTGGGTGATAAGAAAGACAGGCGAAGGTTCTCTTTGGCTGGAGTCTTGCAACCTCGCTGAGGGTATTCCAAGGCGGATTTCGACAGCATGACATAGACATTACGATCACTGTCGCTGCTTTGTCGATAACACCGCAATTACCCAGAATTACCCCAGGGATATAATAGACTAGAGCCCTGAACTGCGAGCGGAAGTAAACCAACATCCGATCGTCCGTTTGTCGTAAACGCAAGGAAGGGTTTCCATTTCAGTGCCTTTTGCTCTCAAGCTTTAGTGCACGGGATCCTCACACCGGCCGCCGCTACGCAGACGCAGACGTCCATGTCAAGATGGTGGATAATCGATATTCTAGGCGGCCGCCATTCGTTCAAAATCTCTTGGTCTTTGGAATAATCCGCAACATCGGTTGGCTGGACTCTCGCTAGGCCGTAGTGGGGTTAAATGACGGCGATTGCTGTACGCCTTGGTAATTTTAAGACCAAGCAACTGCGCATGGACGTCCAACGTATGTGTCAGTCTATCTGGTGCGTGTTCGGTCAAAATCAAAGCACACCTTCAGCAGCATTGGTGATTACGATCCTAGCTGAGCAACGCGTGCTTCCTCACTGGCTGACAGTCTTCCCCGTCGACATGCACAATCAGCTGAATATTCGGGCCAAATTCAGGAGCGATAATACAGATATCCTCCAATCATCGCCAGAGTATTTCAACGCATGGTCGCTAGTAACTCCTGCAAACGGTTGAAATAATTATCGCTGCCGATGTCAAGGCTCGACTTCATACTCTCCACGAAATTTAACCGATGGCGGCCTTTCGCAATAATGGCGCGACCTGAAGTCGGACCGTATGATAAAGGCAAACCTTAGAAGGTGGCCTTGGGAGATGACGCGAGCCAACTGCCTCTGGAAGGTGGCCTGGCTGCTCTCCTAGTGCAACATAGGTAGTTCGGGATGCACAAATTAGCTGAATGTTTGGTAGCAATCCCTTACAGAGGAAGTAGATTACTTATAGTAAAATGCCTTTTGGAAGTAAAAAGGAGAAATTATTTGGAAGATATTCGAAGCACCTCTCCGCCTGGGAGTCGAACCCAGCTTTCGCGCGACCACTGAGAATCGGAATGACAGGCGCGTGTACTAACCGATATACTAGCAGAGAGTTATTTATAGACGGGCTATTGAACCATCTCTCCAACCTCTATTTCTCTTTCAACGCTCTCCAAAACGTCCATAAGATAGTAATTAACTACATGAAATAGTACTACGGAAATGATATGTACATTAATTGAATGGTTATACATAAATACCTGCATTATTGGAAAGATATTGTACGCGTGTATTATCAAGACCCGGATTCTCATAATCGGCTTTGGATCACTGAAAAGTCTCTCTGGATAAACCTATACAATGCTTGAGCTAAGCGTGTGGGTTGCTCTTGTACAACCTAGATGGAAGACAGACAGGTTAACTCAATCGGTATACCTGCAATTGGCTGACATCGCGACATACCGTATGCCCAGCATCTTCGATGAACTCAATTTGATTATTGCTACTCTTCTCGAGTACCGCGCGAATATTATCTTGAATAACCCTCGGACTGCATTGTATTGCTGTGAGCATTTGTCAAGATACGAAGTAATCACACATACCAGTAATCCACTCGCGTTCCAAAGATCGCTTGTATAGGAATATGACTGGCGATATTATTCAGTTGTTCGCTCGCAACATGATGGGGTTCTACGTCGGCGTAAGCGGAGCTTTGGGTAGTCCTCGCTACTGTCAGCGTCACGCCCGAGTCGGCGCCATATGGAGGAGATGGTAACTGCCTCAATCCGCCCAGAGTCTGCGGATCAATCAATGACCAAGTAAATAACTCTTCGAAATACAGCAGAAGCCAGAACGAGCATGGCTTACCACGTAGATGTCGAGCATCCTAGGATCCCATAGCTTCCAGGGAGATTTGCTTGACAGATATGTTTTCGCAGCAGAGATGGTGGTCCAAGAATCTCTTCTCGAAAGGCATGCCTTGCTAGCCTTGATAATCCAATTCTGTACATCGTTGTCCTGAGACAATAACTCCCTCGAATACATCACCGGTTCGATAAGGATCATGGAACTGTACGGGACGTCCCGCCGGCGCTCGTAGTGAGATGTAGAAATGACTCTGTGGCATCAAAAGCAATTATGAGCAAGGGGAACAAGGTCGAAACGGCGGACGAATCACCCTGCAGATGCGCCCGCGGAGTGTCCAATGAACACGATCTTATCGTCTCGATCCACCAGCCCCGAATGGATTAACGTTGAGATCATGGTCCCGTAAGTCCCGCAAGCTAGGTAAGGCAGCGGACATTAGCATATCGGTCCCGGCGAGAGAAGGACGCTTGCTTACAAGATATGGACTGACGTCGGAGTTCCTCCTCGTTCAGAAACACGCTCTGCCCATGATCGGGGGAGTCCACCGACCAGGCCTCCTTGAGCACAGGACACCCCGATCGGATATCGGCTGTGAACAGCTCTTGGATGACTGGCTCCCAGTGCTCCTTGTCTACAACGGTGGGGGTTGACGATCAGCATAGCGGGGGGAGAACATAGAGCACTTACGGAATCCCAGGCCATGTGCGAATATAAGCGTCACATGCGTCCCCCTCCTTGCCGCAGCGTCATCGCGAGCTGTGTACCTATTAGCCCTCGAGCGCAGGCGGTCCCGAGTGGAGAGTATAAACGGTTCAATAGTCAGATGAACTCGACTCGTCGACATGGCCGTAGGGGAGAGACGAAGCTGCTATGTATATCGCAGTCAAGGGGATCAAGTACTTATACGCCGCCAGCGGAATGTTTGGATCCATCTCATGGACGAATGGAGGAAATGAGACTAGTGATAGATCGAGGCACAGCATTATGGGTACTTCCGTCCGTCCTAGAACGCGCTCATGTCAGTGCCTGGATCTATGCCCAACCCGAGTCAGACTCCGTGCGGCGTGGATTGTCGTTTTTACGGCGCTCGTGCCACTCTGTATTGGGGCTTGGGAACGGTCGCAAAGGCGCGAGACATACAAATCATTTCACCGGATCATTCACTCAAGTTGCTAATACACCTATCACAAATGGCGTAAATAATCAACGATACCGCAGAACAAATGCTGCCAGTGACCATACCTACATTACACATCTTCCTCCTCAATATCCACTAGCTCTTTCCCTTCAGCCACCATTTCTCCATTCTTGCACGCTACCGCTTTCACGACACCATCTGTATTCGCCCGCAACACCGTCTCCGTCTTCATACTCTCCAACACAACAACAGCTTGCCCCTTAACCACCTTATCGCCCACTTTCACTTTCACCTCCACAACAAGGGATGGCATCGGGGCCTTCAACGCGCCTTTCGCTGCAGCTTTCAATAGATCACCGCCCAGAGACAACAGCCACTTCGGCGAAGGAAGCACGAGCGTTATCTTCCGTCCACCACTGAAAACGTGAAGGCGCTCCATCGTATTTACCGACAACGATGCCGGGACGTCCGGAGGCGGCCTCTGCGACACAATAGTGGTCTTCAGGGACTCGCCGTCCAGCGTGGTGGCGAGTGACGTGGGAGAAGCCAACTCCGCGGGTATACCGAGGAACGACGTTTCCGACGAGTCGGTGCGCACAGTAACGTCGTAATGACGAGGCTTTGACGATGCCTTGACGTGAACGGTGGCGGTCGGCGCATCTTCAGGCTCGGAGGTTTCCTGCGTCTGAATAGTGATTGTGCGTTCATAGTGATCTCCACCGAATCGCCGAGAAGACAGCGAGTTCCATGGTGAGACTGGTGCGCCTGATACCATCTTGTGGTTGGGGTGATCGCGCAACGCCACAAACAGTGCGCCTTGCGCTAAAACAGCATGTGACGGCTCAGCCACGGGAGGAAACAATTGAGCCGTATGTTTCTTCATCGCGTCAAATCCAGATCCGCACCCACACCCAATTCCAATTCCAATTCAGTAAACGTCAGTACGTCGAACGTCAATAGTGATTCCCATGAAACCGACTCACGGGGATGAACCCAGTTTCAACTTCGCCATCGATAAATGCTTGGTTTCCGGCCAGGCTCCTTAGGAATTCAATGTTCGTTGATACGCCGACGACTTGGTATTCGTCCAGGGCCTTGCGAAGCACTCTCAGGGCTTCAGTACGATCTTGGCCATGTACCACCAACTTAGCAATCATCGGATCATAGAACACTCCTATCTGGGCCCCTTGTTCAAAGCCCTGTTCCAGCCTAGTAGAGACTCCCAAATGCAGCAGCGAGTCCGATCCCGCTATTTCGTTGGTGGGAATGAGGGCATTGTCACCCTCGCGGGAAACGGAGGGCAGAGTGGGAGCGAAGATATGAGTGGGCGATGGTGTTGAGAGGTAAAGTAGGTTTCCTGAATCAGGGAGGAAATTATTTCGCGGGTTTTCGGCATATATTCGCGCTTCGAATGCATGCCCAACAAGGGGGATTTGCGACTGAGATAAGGGAAGATGGTTTCCTGCTGCGACCTTGCAAAACCCACGTTAGGCTAAATAGTTATGCTCAGTCCTTAGGACGTACCTCGAGTTGCCATTCTACTAGATCCAAACCAGTGACCATCTCGGTCACGGGATGCTCTACCTGGAGTCTCGTATTCCTGAACACGGCATCAGATCATGAATGAAAGAAGAAACAGAAGCCACATACATCTCCATGAAGAAAAATTTAGATGTGTCGTTGTCGAAAATGAATTCTACAGTACCCGCACCGACGTAGTCCACAGCTCGAGCTGCGGCTATCGCTTTAGCACTGAGATCCGTTCGAAGCTCTGGAGACAATCCTGGTGCTGGGGCCTAACCGGCGACTGAGTACCAAAGGAATATCCACCCTCGAGGCACGCACCTCTTCTATAATCTTCTGGTTCCTCCGTTGCACTGAGCAATCCCGCTCCCACAGACTCACAACGCCGCCCAACTTATCAGCGAAGACCTGTACTTCCACATGTCTAGGATGGATGATGTATTTCTCTATCAGCACCGTGTCGTTCCCAAACGCCTTCAGCGACTCGCGTTTCGCCGACGAGAGCGCTTCGTTGAAAGCCTGTTCAGAGTCTTCGAAGACCGTACGCATCCCCTTTCCGCCTCCACCATGGATCGCCTTGATCAACACGGGGAACCCTATTTGCTGGGCTTGCGAGTATAGGAAGCTAGGATCCTGTTCAGAGCCGTGGTAGCCAGGGACGCAGGGCACGCCAGCAGCTATAGCTACCGTGTAAGCAACCGCGCCGCGTCAATGAGCATGCAGTACGCACCAGACATGATGCTCTTCGATTCACTGCAGCCCGTTAACGCGTATTCTGGGGAAATATATATGCAGAGTCACATACCTCTTCGATCCCATGCTGACAATGGCTGACGCGGGGGGACCGATAAATGTAATCCCCTCCTTTGCCAATTGCTCAGCAAACGCCGCATTTTCGCTCAAAAAGCCATAACTATACAATATGTTCAAGACACGTCGAGAATACGAGAAACGAAGAAACATACCCTGGATGAACAGCCTGCACAGTTTAGTTTCCTAGATGTAGAGTGTCAATGGAGTGAACTCACCTGCGCTCCGGTTTTATGGCACACTTCAATTATCTTGTCCATGCGCAACTGGATGCATTATTAGCATCAAGTAGGCGCTTATCTACATTCGTACTCACATAGGACTCTGCTGAAGGTGCGGGTCCTATGCAATACGCCTCGTCGGCCTTGCGCGTGTACCATTAGCCACAGAAGATCGCAACGAAGGGTCCGACGCACCTCTCTTACGTGTAGCGCGTCTTTATCTACTTCAGAGTACACAGCGACAGTCCGGATCCCGAGCTTCTTCGCCGTTCGAATGACCCGACATGCTATCTCGCCTCTGTGTGAACAGAGGAATGAGCTTGTTTCTCGGAATGCCTCCAGTACTCCTCACCTGTTTGCGATGAGGATCTTGTCGAAATGAGGTTTCCGGGTACGATGCAGGACTGCATAGAATTAGTCAGACACAAGATCTACCGTGTGGAAGATACTGGGGCATACCAGAACCACTAGCCTCAGATGCATAACATCTTCGACTATTCTCAAGCAACCCAGTGTGGCCCCGCCTCGGAACAGGTAATTGTCCCAGCCGCGCATGACTGGTATGGATCTCCCGCGGAGCGGATGGAAGCCGCTGGATCCTCGTTGTCGCTGGCGGTGATGTTGCGCCTCGGAGTGCCTGCAAACTTGCAGTCGGTCGACTGCAGCGTCTCATCGTTCGAGGTAAGTGGTGGGCAGGAAACAAGATCCGTTGCAGACGATGCTCCGAGGCACATGCATCGAATAAAGTTCCCACAATAACGACAACTGTGCGCTTCGCCAAGCGACGGCCTTGTTCAGTCCACGAGCCGGTAAGCGTTGGGGAATGAGCGCATCCATTGTGAAGTACTGCTACATCGTGGTACGGGGAAGAGAGTCGGATTAACAGTACAAGTCCGAGTCACGGGTGGACATAATATATTGGATTGCTTAAACTGCCACAGAACGCGACACTGAGGCCGATATCCGACATGCAGTGTACTCGTTTCTCGTTTGAATGTTCTGTCGTCTGTACTTGGCTTCGGACGTTGCTGTGGTAGAAAATGGCCAGTGCCTGTCATATCCCTTGATATCCTTTACCAAACAATTCTCTGCTAGTATATCGGTTAGTACACGCGCCTGTCATGTCCTACTGGTCGCGCGAAAGCTGGGTTCGACTCCCAGGCGGAGAGCATGTCGTATCATCTGCGTCTCCTTTAATTTTTTGAATTCACCAAGGACCCACAAGACCGTTCCAAGTGTGATTAAAGCAGGTATTCTACACAACTCAATAAAATGTGAAAATCAGAACATACCCTCCCTGGGCGGGATCGCGACCGGCGCCGGACGGTGCATAGCTGAACTTCCTGGCCGATTGCTAGACCTCGGCGGCGGGGCGGGGCTTCCTCGCAGTGCCCTCGGCGGCCGCTCGCGAGGCGTAGCGTAATCAGGCAATCCCTGGCGCATCTGCCCCCCAGGCGGAGGCGTGCGTGTACTCCGTGGAGTCGGTGCTATGATAGGTACTGGAGGTGGATCGGCTGTGGTTAACGACGAGGGAGGATTGGGGGTGCGCGATCTTGTGGGCGTTGGTGGGCGTGAAGACGATGTGGGGATGGTCGCGGATGCGGGATATATGGTGCTTGAGATATCTGAGGTTCGGTTCGAGGAGGCGCCGTATGATGAGGGTATTACGGAAGCTGAGGCCGGTGCGACAGGCAGTGGTGGAGCCGGGGAGCCACGTCGGCGAAGAGGGATCGAGGGAATCCTCGACGGCGTACCGAGTGTCGAGTTCGACGCAGCGGAGGAAGATCCAGGGCTGAGGAAAGCCGAAAGGACAGAGGAGTCAATATCATGCTTGGGGACTTGTATCGAGTGTCCTCGGAAAGAAAATGGCTTCGACATCCTTGCTTCTGGGGAAACAGCGGTAGACGCTTCCTTAGGAAGAAGTTCGTCCAGCAAAAATCTGAAGTCGAGACCATATTCTTGAAGTAGCTTCAAAAAGACATTATTAGTATGATTTAAGCGGTCAGAACTCAATATATATACCTTCTTGCTTTGCGTATAGGTCAGTTTAACACATTCATCTATAACTTCTGTGTCAACATCCGAACCATATACTTGCGTTCTGAACATCTCAGCGTAAGCCTCAATTTGTTTCCTCGACCATTCAACGAAGGCTAGGCATGAGGGTCAGCCATCTCTACCGGAGCGCTAACACAGGTAGACGAAAGAACTCACAGCTGGCCACTTCGTTCTCCTTGAAACTCGCTAGGAACCAATCCGCGGTATGCTTGATCGCAGTGAACCACACCATACACATCTCCCCAACATAGCTCGCAGTGTCCCCGCTAAACGCGATCTTCCTGATCAAAGTCTTCATCACTTGCTCCCTCATCTCCAGGAACGTGCGACGGGCCGCAGGCCCCGCGTCGAGGCGGATAAGCAGCGAGATGAGATGCACAACGGCGGCTTTGCGGTTGCTAGGGAGCGCCAGAGAGGAGAGGAGAGATGTTGTGAGGAGGCCAGTCAGGACAGGGAGCTTCGTGGCCAGCGCTGGTGTGACGGATGATTTCGCTTTACCTATGGAGCATCATAACGTCAGGACTCTGCAACAGCGAGCAAAGAAAAGAGGCCAACCTTCCTCTACAAGCCCGACAGCTTTGTCCCATTCCTTGAGGGCGATGGAGACACTCAGATCATCCGACCACTCGCTGACCCACCGATTGTCTCGTTCGGCTTTGTCGCGCGCCATGGAACTCCCTTCCCCAGCCTTCTCAGACAGTTCTGCCATCCAGTCCGGCATCGGGGGGACCTTGTCCATGAGATTACCACCCAACATCATGGTCTTCCGCCGTTCATGTTCCCCTTCTCTCTCCTTGCGTCTCTTCGCCGCGAGCTCTTCAGCTACCTGCCGGAACTGCGCAAGGAGAGACTTCTTGTCGCCAGACGACTGGGTGCGGTAAACGTGGGTCTCCTTTCCGTGTCTGATTTTGAAGACGTTCGTCATGCCTATGAAACACGTCAGATTCTGGACGCCGTGACTACAGTGCATGCAACCTACTAGGCGAATCTTTCGTATCGAGCACAAGCATTTCGTTTATCGGCCAACAGCGCTCCGCTACTAACTTGCCTTCACTGCCCGAGCTTGGATTACCAGAACCCCCTCCGCCGCCGCCGCCATTTCGACGCCTGCGCCGCGCGACGAGCACCAAATCATCCAAAACCACGAACTTGACTTTGCCTATAGGCTTGTATGTCGCCGCGTTCAGACTAAGCACGTCGTCCGTCTCCGCTATAACATGTCTCCCCGGCAACGTCGGCGCGAATTTGGAGGATCCCTCGATCTGTGCGTGCAACGCTTGCATTTGGTTGAAATACATGATGCGAAGGTCGGCCATTGAGGAGCGACGAAAGGTGGATATCGTCGAGGATGAGGACGACGGGTCAGGGATGTGTAGTAATGAGGGCATTGACTTGTATTCTGAGAGAGATTCCTTGAGCTCCAGCAATTCGTTCTCCAGCGTCGAGATTTCCTTCGAAATGAGTACGAACTCTGCGTAACTGTGGCAGGTATATGATGAGAATCCCCCATGCTGAATGCGTGACTCACTTCTTGAAGACATTCCGCTGGAGATCAAATGCTACGCCGTCCTTGGCACCGCGCAAGGAGGATTGCAGTGACTTCAATTCGGCTTCAGTAGAGTTGGCTAGCTTTGCCTTCAGATCTATTCCACTCAGATCAGCTCTGTATTCTAACTCGATCCCGGCTAGACATACATGCGTCGGGATCAAAGTTGTCGTCGTCAAGCATGCGCTCAAGGTCGTCTGCCCGTCGAGACTCATCGCCACCAACGCTGCGATCGGCGACCAATTCTTCTTGCTCTCCGGGACGTCGTCGGTTGGCCGACGCAGCAATGCCCACAGGAAGAGAAGGTACATCTGGTATACTGAGTTCGGTGGGCCCAGATATATCTGCATAGCGCGTCGACATGCGCTTCTTGATCCTGTCGTCGACCTTGGACTTGCGCGTATCCCGACTCGAGACATTGGACTTTGCCAATCTGTTGGAAGTGGTAGGGGCGCGCTGGGCCTGCCGCGGGGCCTGCGACCTCCGCGTCCGCAGCGACTGCATGGTTTGGATACAAGAGTTGTGGTGGCTCTACATTTCACGCGCGTTAACAGTCGTTACCGACAGTATTTCCTTTTTCGGATGCATCCCAAAGGGGGCTCAGGAGACCACACAAGTTTCGAGATCTCGGCGGCGACAGCACACCGCGCATGCTTCTCTTTATTCGTCTGAACTCCACTGTACGACCTTCTCTTTCCACCCTTCCTCACATTTAATTTTCTCTTCTAGTTCGCTGCACAATATCAATGACACGCGGTCGCCAGCCCAATCCCCACGTTCATCAGTGCCTAACGCCTCGCCCCAGCCCCAGCCCCAGCCCCAGCGAGTCAGGTGAGGAATAGCCTTCCAGAGAATGAAATGTCCCCCGCCGTCTATGGCTTTTATATATTCGCGTTTCGTGAGGTTCACTAGCACCCGCTCACTTTCGGGTGCATGTGGTACGAGACGCCCGCGGGAGAGTACCGAGAGCTCCAGTGCGATGAGGCGATGGATGTCCGTTTTCGAGATCTGTGGGTGTTCTAAGATACCTTCGGGGAGTGCACATGCGCGAGACTGCTGGTCCTTGACCTCTTCAAGCGATGGCATCGCACTCCCATATTCATACAACGCAACACCAAGCTCTTCACATAAAGCAGAGTAATCGTCGGGCCCGATCTCAGTGAGGGTGGCTTCTATCGTTGACTTGGAAGGCGGGATCTCTGGATTGTCTTCCCACTCGTAGTTGTACCACCATGCCACGACTTCATTTCTCTCGTCCTCGGTCAAGTAGTTGTCCGGGAGTGTCCTTTCTCCATGCCCAATACAGATCAAACGGTCACCGTTCCAGCGTTTGGCCGCGTCGATACGCCTGATATTCTCCACGATGATAGCGTACAATATCGTGAACAAGTAGCCATTTGTCGCCGACAGTATGAGTGCGTCCCGCAGGTCACCAATTTGGGCGACATGGCAAATAAGCTCGTCAGGGAGCTTACTGAAAGTCCCGAGAGCAGTCCTCTCTAGAACCATGCATGACAGATCATAACTAATGGACCGTAATATTAGCGAGCTACAGTGGACGTGTAGCCAGGTTTCTCACCCAAATACTCGCTTAAATACCGTTCGAAGGTCGTAAAATGGTACTTCGGGGTCAAAGGATCCTATGATTGCCAAAGACCGGCCCAGCTCGAGCGAATCCGTAGGCGGCCATTGTATCTTATGGGACTGGTGTTTATCGGGGTTGATGCTATATTGAAAGTCCTCAGTGAAAGGTGAATCTCCGTGTGCAGTCGAATGGCTTACAAGATGAATGTTGACGAGTACATGATGGAAGTAGTTCGACTGCTGGCGTCTGTGGCTAATGCAGTTGCGTGCGAATAGACTGTGGTTTGAATTCAACATCCTCTATCATCTATCTGTATTGAATATTATATATTGGCACCGATATTGTAGATTTTATTCGCTACTTCTCTGATAGAAAAACGATATAGCGACTCCTGGGAGGCTGAATTCAAGGACAGGAGCTTCAGGAGGTTTCAGGGGGTCAGGAACCGAGTGGCAGCACGCACGTGCACCTTACCCAGTTTGGCACACGTAACTTGATGCCGGCCAACCGATGCGGTGAACGTCCAACTCTGAACTTGGACACCATCCTCAATTGCAGATTTGAAGACTGGAATAATCGTGGCCACGGTGAGCACAAAGTCTTCCGAGCGCTTTCTCAAACTCAATATCTCCAAACAGCGCGCAGTTTCTTGGTAACTTTGGAGAAACCCAAACAGAGAACAACTTTCGCCTTCCTGCCATCATGTCTGGGAACGAGGGGCAGTATTACCCGCCGCAACCGCAGTATGCGTCCCCCCGACACTCGACTTCGAGAGACTTTGAACCGCGAAACGGCTCGCCGTATAATTCTGTGCGCTCGCAGTCGCAGGCGCGACCGCCTTTGAACCAAGAGATCTACGAACCGAATGGAGGCACAGCAGGTTACCCAGAATCAGTAGGCAGTGGGCGAGGTGGTGGCGGCGGGGGTGGTGGCGGAGGTGGGATGGCGTATGGCGGGGGGTACGCTGGGGGGCCAGGACC